GAGACTTACAAAATAGGCGATTCGGATCATTAAAATTTAATGTGGAGTGATCCCCACATCTAATCCCTATTTTTTGAAAAAAAATAGAAATCTCTTTGTATAAAGGGCTTGATATATATATAGTTTAGCGATTGCTTTCATTTTCATCATCAACCGTATCCTCCCCACTGTTTGGGGAAACATTAGCAAAGGCAATGTTTGCGTTGCCGGGGACTCGCTCCACCCCATGGCACCGGACATTGGGCAAGGCGGCTGCGCTGCGTTAGAAGACAGTGTTGTGTTGGGAAGGTGTGGCGGCGAGGCCTTGTTGAAAAGCTTAAGGCAAGAAGTGGGGGTTGAAAAAGTATGCCAATGAGAGGAAATGGAGGGGGTTCGTTTTATTCAGGGGAGTGGAGGAAAAATTATGAAATTCTTCAACAAATATTGGGCATTAAAAGCATTCGACGTTGAGAATTATGGTCTTGTAATCATTATAAAACAATTTAATGTGCTCAATATTAGTTATGAGAATGACGGTCTTGTAATTATTTTAAAAACAATATAAATGAAATTTCATTTATTTATAGCAGAGACAATATCGACATATAAGTGGACAAATTTAGTAAATGCATTGCTCTCACATGTTTGACAAAATTACAAAACCTAATGGACGCATTGGATGGCAAGTGAATTGAAACTTGAACACAAAGTTCAATGTGGAGATAAATATTTTTAAATTACTTGAGTTACACGTTTGTTACTTTTTATTTTTCCTTCATGTTGGGCTATTTGATTGGGCCTTCGTAGTTTTTAATATTGCACCAATCCAATAACTATCAGTTGGGCTTTTTCCATATAAATGAAATTGTCTCAGATTTTTGTGTAGAAAAGTAGATAAAATCATAAAAGAAAAGAAAAATAAGGAGAGAGAGAGAGAGAGAAAAGCGACGCCGTATGAACATCAGCCTTCTGTTCCTCTCTCTCACTCTTCCTCGTTCTCTCTCTCTCTCTCTCGCATAAACTTGCAGAGGAGGAAACCGTAGCAAAACCCTAGTTCCTCCGTCGCCAAATCGATTGCGATCAGCGCGTGGCACCGCCAAATTCAAGGTAAATTCGCTTTATTCACTCTGCAAATTTCAACTTTTTCGCTTTAATCTTCGTTTCGTCGTTCGTTAAATCCACGTTCTGTGGAATCTGGAAACAGTCACTGCAAGATGACTCAAGACGTGGAGATGAAGGAGGTCCCGGTGCCTTCCAATTCAGTTTCTTCGGCTTCTCCGTCAATACTACACAGTAAGTCTACCATCTGCATCCATAATATTATATGTACATATATCTGTAAAACCCTAAATTTCGCGCATTTTTTGTATAGTTTAAGTAAGTTAGTGGTAGCTTGTCGAACTGGGTGTGTGGGATTTGACTTTAGACTATCAAATTTTACTGGGTTTGTTAGATTTGAAGGAGATTGCTTCACTCCTTGAGACTGCTGCTTATACCCGTGAGGTTAGGCGAATTGTGCGTGCCGTTAGGCTAACGATGGTGTTGAGGCGGAAGCTGAAGGTTTCTGTGATTTCAGCATTCCTCAATTTTGCCCTTACACCAGGATCTGAGGTTCATAGCCGCTTATTGTCATTTCTTCCCAAGGTGATTTTGGATATACCGTATTGAATTTTGGATTTGAGATGGTGTATTTGATGTTCTTGTTTAGTTTTGAGCACTGTGAAAGTGGAACATTTGGTTGTACAGGATGATGAACAAGATATGGACGTTGATACTGCAACATCTGCTACTCAAGTTCCCGCAAAGCATGCCTTGCCAGAGTTAGAGATGTACTCCTACTTGCTTGTGCTCATTTTTCTGATTGATCAGAAAAAGTACATTGAGGTGAAGCAGTATACTTGTAACATGTTATTAAATCTCGCTCTGGATAGTTTACTTATTAAAAGTTCAAGCTCTTATTTTTTGTGATAACATTGAACTTGCTGCCCTTTAGGCTAAGGCTTGTGCCTCGGCAAGCATTGCTCGTATTAAGAACTTGAATAGGCGAACCATTGATGTTCTGGCATCCAGGCTGTACTTCTATTACTCCCTTAGCTATGAACTCACTGGTGATCTTGCAGAAATTAGAGGGTGAGTTAAATGCTATCGTGATATTTAGGTACAAATGTCTTTGTTTTCTTTCCACATTTCTCTTGTTCCTTTACGACTAAATTTTTCACTCATTCCTTCACAGAAATCTCCTGAATCTTCACCGGATTGCAACTTTGCGCCATGATGAGCTGGGCCAGGTAATTTTTTGATATTGTAAGCTACTGTTCCTGTCCCACTGTTTTCTTACTCGTGGATAATAATGTGATGCAGGAAACACTTCTTAACCTTCTGCTTCGCAATTACCTCCACTATAACCTGTATGATCAGGCTGAGAAACTGAGGTCCAAGGCACCCAGATTTGAGGCTCACTCAAACCAGCAGGTCAGGCTCAATTATTTGAATCTGTAGCTTTAAACTATGTATCTAGGATCACAATGAATGTAAATGTATGGGTCAGTCTTGTTTTTTGTAATTTATAATCAACTTCTAATCTTATGCATGTGTGTAATAAAGGTGATGCGACATAGGTACTGTGAGAAGTTTTTGGTGACTTGTTTTTTCCTTGAGATGGGTGCTGTTTCTTGAATATTTTGCTTTCTTTAGTATTTATTTGGGTTCATTCGTATTTTCTGACTGCTTCATCTCTCTTTTAATTCTTATTATAGAAAAAGATGTATTGTGATAGCATGCTGGTCTATCTTGTGTTTTTGCATTCTTGAACTGTCATTCATGCTTGTTATCAATGGATCGCAAAGCTTCGATCTATTTCATGTCTTAATCATATTCTTGTAACGTGTTGGTTTAGCATGTGGTTTTGCCTTCTTCCATGGTCATTCATGCTTACTATCAAGAACATTTTACTGCTCTGTTAGCACATTGCAATTTGTGTATAAATTCCACTCTTCTTTTGTGTCTATATTTCAGAATGTTTTAAATTAAATGTTAATGATTTCTGTTCTCTTGGGAATAAGCTTAGTTATTTCTGAGAGGAAAGTATACAATTTCTTCACTTCTCTTGTTTTAATCTTTCCTTGGCAACTTTAAGGGAAACAAGGAGGGTCATTGGGAAGTATGTAGATTTTACCACCAGACTGTTCTCATAAAGTCAATTTATACTAGCTTAAAACTTTGTTGTAGAGGATGTATACATGAGAGCAAAAGCATCTATTTCCTCAGTTGTGGTTCCTCTCTTTCTAACTGCAAGATGCATATTCTGATTTGACAATATTCTCTTGCAGTTCTGTCGGTATCTCTTTTACCTAGGAAAGATCAGAACAATTCAGTTGGAGTACACTGATGCAAAGGAGTCCCTCCTGCAAGCTGCTAGGAAAGCCCCTATAGCAGCCCTGGGTTTTCGGATTCAATGCAACAAGTGGGCAATCATTGTGCGCTTATTGCTTGGAGAAATCCCTGAGAGAACTGTTTTTATGCAAAAAGGCATGGAGAAGGCTTTGAGGCCATACTTTGAACTAACAAATGTAAGTCTGGATTTCTCGAAAACCTTCAACTCTGAACTCTAAACTTTACTCTCTTATCAAGTTTGAGAATAATGATTTCTGTTGAATAGTAGTAATGCAGTGTGTGATGCTGGGATGGCCTCCTTGGAATCAACTCCTGATTAGGCCATGAGCTTTTTTCTACTGCTGGTTTTGATCAAGACAATTTGTTTTTTCAGGCTGTGAGAATCGGTGACTTGGAGCTATTCAAAAATATTGCAGAGAAGTTCTCGAATGTATTCAATGCAGACAGAACCCACAATTTGATTGTTAGGCTGCGACATAATGTCATAAGAACCGGGTTGCGTAACATCAGCATCTCTTATTCCCGCATTTCTCTGGTTGATGTTGCTAAAAAGTTGCGATTGGACTCTCCAAACCCGGTTGCTGATGCTGAAAGCATTGTCGCCAAGGCAATCCGAGATGGTGCAATTGATGCTACCCTGGATCATGCAAATGGATGGATGGTGTCAAAGGAAACTGGGGATATCTACTCTACTAATGAGCCCCAAGCTGCATTCGACACGAGAATTGCATTTTGCCTTAATTTGCACAATGATGCAGTGCGAGCGCTTCGATTCCCGCCAAATTCCCACAAGGAGAAAGAAAGTGCTGAGAAGAGGAGGGAGAGGCAACAACAGGAGCAAGAGCTTGCAAAGCACATAGCTGAGGAAGACGATGATGAGTTTTGAAGCAGTTACATCTACGCTCTGTGCAATGCTCTCAAAAAGCTATCCGCGTTTCCTTGAAAATGTCTATCAAGAACATTTTGGTTCCTTGTCTGATTGACCCGGGATAGTGCCTGTTTCCGTTTATGTTAAAGATTTGTTGTGTTGAGCCTGAGCGACCTCTTTCAATCATATTTTGAGGTTGCTTGTTTCATTCCGTTATATATGATACGAACATTGAATATTTGACATTTTTCACCAGACATTGAACATGTTTATCAGGTTGCCTTGGTAGTGCCTTCTTGCATGCTGTCATTCGTTCTTATGTGATTTTGGTTGACAAAATCTAAAATTATGTGATTTTGGTTTGACGCATGATGGAATACACAATCTATTTCTAGGGATGTGGTTCAGATCATAATGAAAAACTTTTCGTGCTAGTGGTTGAGGACAGATTACATGTCCGTATGTCACACGATACATCTTGAGTTCGATTTATGGCGTTGGTGAATCACACAATGGTAGAATGCCTATGTGAGTCTTCCCAGGCCCCCATAAGGGTGGACTGCTGTGGCGTGCTTGTCAAGTTTCCCGTCCCCTTTCTTCTTCATCCAGCTACTCGGTTTTAACATGTTTACAACCATTTTTCTCCTCTTCGTTTTGATACGTGCCTTTAGAGACGGAGATGTCTTAATTTGCAATTTTAAATGAATGTACAAGTTGAAGAAAGCCATAACTCAATTCGTTGCAATCCACAAACTCGGCATTTAAAAATAAATCTTGTGTTAAATTACACAGAATGATCTGATTTACACAACTCGTTTGAATATCATATCGTCAATCTTTGGTGCAAAGTGCCAAATGTTACAAACTTTACAACATGTTGGAAAGGAAGAATCACAAATGGTTTCATCTCTAGTAGAATTGAAGTGATGCAATTTCTAATTCTAACGTCTTTCGGGATACAAAACATATGAGCCTAATTCCACTTTGCAGGTGAGAAATGTGAATGAACTCCACCCATTCAATAAAGAGAGACTCAGAAAGTTCAGTTACGATTCTGTCTTGATCATTCACCCGGTTGAACTCAAGCCAAATGACTTGACGATTGTGCTTACCCTTTCTGCAAACGTTTTTGAGGTTATCTTTTTGCCTGGCTCATGAAACGGGTTTGAAATTGCATCCACATAAGCAGCATGGAATCTCCTGAAAAACTATACCACAAATCGACCAGTCAGAGGGATCACACAAGCTTTGTTGCACGTACAGACAACAGTCAGTAAAGATCGCATATATACAACATACTTAGCATTTACAAAAACTAGTAACCACCTACACTATGAAAATGGCAGGACAGGGTATTGTAACCGATTTAAACAAACAGAGCAATCCAAACAATTCTAGAATGCATACTCTCGAGAAACGTAACAGCTGCCTACTGTTATTTTAAGAAGTACATGATGGCAGGAAATAAACTTGTTAAAGTTTGGGAAAACTTGTTAAAGTTTGGGAAAACTTGTAATATATGCATTTCTTCTCAGGAACTACTGCCACAATATTTTATATCACTTATTCGCGCATCTCATTAAACTATGCATGAACTAAGGTGGATTAAGAGGGATTTCAATCTCTCAAAACTAGTTGAAGTCAGTCATTCGAATCAAATTTTAATCAATCTTCAGTGAACAATGTACATAAACATGGTTAGGACATTCTCTCACTGGAGGAAGCAAAGTGGAGATATCAATTTGCAGTCCTCTGGCTATGCGCCGACAGGAAAATATTTCAAACTAAAACCTATAATATCCATTCGCCGCTCCGATGACAAACGAAATCTTGCATTTGTCCTCCATGATAAAGTAAACAGTACATACAACTATCAGTCTAATTCCCGTTAAATCTACACAATCCTCCTAAGCTTACTATTTAAGTCATTTCCCAAAAAACGAAAAAAAAATCTTGTTTCAAATGGATGCATATAAACATAGCCACTAACATACGTTTAAAACATCGTAGGATTGATGAAAAATTGCTGAGCAAATTCTATATCATGTTCAAGTTTTCGCAAAAATTGTTTTTTCGGGAAGTTACAATATTCAGAGCAAATACTCACATTTTTAACATCTGCATCCTTGACATCAAGATCGGTAGTTACCAAGATAAACTTCACTTTCGTATTAGTCAAATAGCCATAACTGCAAACAAAATCACCATATAAGAACACCAAAGATCAATACATTTATGCTAAACATACCCAATAACAAACAACAAAAGTACTCACACTTTGTAATTCTCAGTTGGATAGAGCAAACCCAAGAATGTCTCATTCAATGTCGGTCCGGACTTTTTCGGATTGTTCACTACAAAATCACACAAAAATGCACAAACTTTACATAAATTCTAACTAAAATGCACAAACTTCACATAAATTCTAACTAAAATACACAAACCCAACAATCAAAGGCCTAATTTTCAGCTAAATAAAGCAGACCCAAAGATGATTTCAGTGTTTCGTGCATTTCCAATTCGATCAACAGAAAAACCAAAACTATGTAGCAGAACCAAGAAGTGAAGTTTTCAAAAAGTACCGGAGGCCCAGATCCGAATTTTGAAATTTGTTTACCTCGCTCGTCGACGACGTCGAGGGAGCAGTGGACGATGTGGCGGAGCTTGAGGGCGTCATCGGCGTCGGTGAAGCTTTGAATGTAAAGTGGGTTGTTCTGGTGGCCAACGACGGCGACGCAGACGATCATCTTCTCCAGCTCGGCTTTCAGTTTGTTTGCTTCAGTGGCGACAACGATATGATGCCGCGTTTCGACGTGTCGCGGTCCCGGGAGCTAGTTATGACGTCTTTTTAGTATATGTGTAGTGGATCTGGGCTGTCTACATCTACCCGGGTCTTTTAACTACATTTACAGCGCATTGTTTTGGGCCTCAGGCCCATTAAGAAAATTTAGGGAAAAAAATAAGATTAAATATTCTGAGTTCAAATTTTATGAACGACTCTATGCCTGTATATGGTTGCTTATTGCCTTGAGGTTATAACGTTAGCAATAATCCACGACAATTGTTTAAAGAGAAAAATAAAAGTCAATTGGTCTCCTCCATTTCCTGTCCATCGTTCATGCCTCAAACATTTACTTATGACAATAAAATGGTAATTTGCCTATCTAAGTTACCTGTTGACCTTGAAGCAATCCTCCCTTGCAAGAAAAGGCTACCTTGCCTAGTCAGTGAAACTCTCACACAAATCTCTCATTGTCCAAAGAAAGCACAATCAATTTCTTTTCTTATAGTTTTCAAACGATAATTAATATTGAGGTATTTTAATTCAAGAACCAAATTCAAATAAAAAAAGTAATTACGTACTCATCTCAACAAATTCATTAATAGAGACTAGCCAATGGCCAATTAAAAACGTTTAGGTGTCATTGGCTTATATTAATGTTCATGGTGGAAATTGGATAATTATAAAAAGTTCAAGAGATAATCGGTTAAAATTAAAATTCATGAGAAAAATTGGCACATAAATTTGAGGAGGAAATCGGCGAGTATCTCATTAATATTTGTAATTAAATTAATGGTATTCTCTCAAAAGACGTGGAGAGACTAATAACACCTTCCTTCCATCTCCCATGCTATCTAGATTAGTTTCTTCATCCCTCCTCCAACTGTCGACTCCATATCGCAGTGGCGTCGGTGGTGAACCGGCTTGGCAATTGACGACGCACTCGGCCTGAGTGCGGAGGACGAGTTTGGTGCAGCCTTGTACTTGAAACTTGCAGACGATGACTGATCGGGCAAGGCCACGGTGGTCGGTGGACATGTAAGGACAGAGAAGATGAGTGCTTGGATATTTGATGAAGAAGAAATTTGGGGCGTTCGATTAGGCAAATAGCGAGCGTTTGGCTAATTACGAAAAATTGTGTAAAGTGCCAGCTGTTTTAATATTATTGGTCCCCTTTCCCCACATCAAATGGTGGGAATAATTAGTCATCACATTCTTTGATATTAGATTTGGTGACTTGTCATTTTCTCATACTTGTACGTTTGTAAAGAAAATTATACAATAAAATACACAATATTCATAAATTGTAATTTGAATACAACATGACATTTTCACATCAATCTTGTTAATGACATTCTACTCAATTGATATGCGATTATTTGACAAAAAAAAAAGAAAATGTGATTAGACGGGGTGAAGGTATCTTTTAGAAACTCTAAAACACAATCCAAGTATATCACTTCTTAGCATGTAGAGCATCTAACATTCGAGGTTTTATATTCGATTTCCTTTTTCTTACCATCTCTTGTCCAATTATTTGGTTTTAAAGATCTAAAAATGGTGTTGCGTTATCTTTCTTGTCAAGTCCTTTTTATGTTGATCATTGTTAATATGGGCGAACAATATTGTTATTACTTTTTTGGTCTTAATTCATAAAAACAATAGATGCTTCTGTTTATTCTAGGTATAATATCTTGTTAGAGTGAGTTGTGAAGTTTTTTTAGTTACAAAATTTAAAAAAATATAGAAAATAACAGGTTCAAGTTCGAATTCACCTCCTCAAATAATTTGAAAAAGAAAAAAAAAATCTTGAATTGAAAGAGAATTTAAAATATTTGAAAAAAAAAAAAAAGAGAATTTAAAATGTCATTATTCTTTTTCTTAAATAGAAGCATCTCCCAAATCAACGACTTCCGAATTACGAAAATGCCCCTTACGTTTCTTCCAGCTCCGCCCCTGGCAATATATTCTCCGTGACACAGCTTTAGACCCTCTGTTCAAAAAATCAACAGGCTCTTCTCGTTCTCTCTCCGTCGTCTTCTTCCTCCATCAGAGTACCTCTCACCCCGAACTCCCAGATTTCGTCAGGTAAATTCTCATACAACCCCTTCCTGCAATCATCTTATTACAAATCGCTCCAAATTCCATTTCTTTGATTAATTTTCATCTTTTTTCTCATTTCCATCCGATTTCAAATGGGTTGGATTGAAATCCATGATAAAACACACAATCTAACAAATATGCTATTTTCCATCGATTTATGCTATTACGCTTTTTCCAGTTTCATTGTTTTTTAATTGAGTGTTGGGTTGGTCCGCTAAATGTGAGCTGCTGTAGGCTTTCTAAGCTGCAATTTTATTGATAAAATTATTTTTTTTATTTACCCAAATCATCCTATAAGTTTTTGAATCCGATTGGACTATTGGGTTCTACATTTTTATCAATTTGCGGATTTGTTCGTGCCTATAAACTTTTCTTATCTTAACGTGATTGGAGTCTGATGCTAGTATTAAGTTCTTATGTTGGATGAATATCATGTATTCGACATGTGTCTGTCTGTTGAGTTAGTTTTTCGGGTTTGAAACTCTTCAGTATCGACTTGTAGTTTGGTATTGATTTTCATCTGGGAGATAGTCAGTTCATTGGGATTATGTGTTAACTCTGTTGTAATTAGACTCTTTTTATAACTGGAGCTTTATAAAGCAACTCACTTTTTTGGTTAAAGTAGTGATCCGTAGAACTCTATAGTTGCCCAGAAGCTTTTTGAAGGTGGAAAACATGGGTTTCGCTTTATGATTAAGTTGATTATTTATCAATGATAAAAATGTGTTTCCTTTCTCTTAAGAAGATGATAAATCTCAAAATTTTGCTATCTGTTTGCGTTGTATTATGATTTCAGCTTGACACTAGGTACCACATTTATTGCCTGCTGTCAGTTTTGGATGGGAACCAAGGAGCATGACACTGTTTTTAAAGATGACGAGCCTCCTACTATTGGCCACGATAATATTTCGTTGAGCCAGGTTGATTCTTCAACAAGCGCAGTTCATTGCAATTCAAATGTAAATATTGAAAGTAATGAAGTTAAAAAGTTAAGTGAGGTTGTCAGCAACATTAACAATACCCCATATATTTATAGACAAGACGTTGTGAGGAGCAAGAGTGGTATGACTGGGATTGTAACTGAGGTTGCTGGTGATTCAGATTCTGATAGTAGCATCATTGATGAGGAGGATGATGATGAAGATGATTACTACGATGATGATGAGAATGAGGAAGAAGGTGGTAATAACAATAATACTACTCGTGGGAATAGTGACAAGAACAAAAATGGTAGTAATGATAAGACTGGTCCCCTTCCTGCTGACCAAGTTCGAGTACTTTGGATGGATGAGACAGAGTCAACCCAAAATATTAATGATGTAACGGTTGTTGATCGAGGGTTCTTACATGGGGATTTTGTTGCTGCTGCTTCTGACCCAACTGGGCAAGTTGGTGTCGTGGTGGATGTCAATATCTCTGTTGATCTATTAGCTCCTGATGGGTCAGTCATAAAAGACCTTTCATCCAACGAATTAAAACGTGTGAGGGAGTTCACTGTGGGTGATTATGTGGTCCTTGGTCCCTGGCTAGGTAGGATTGATGATGTTTATGATAATGTGACAGTTTTGTTTGATGATGGTTCTGTGTGTAAAGTTATGAAAGCAGATCCGATGGACCTGAAACCAGTTTCCAAGAATATGCTTGAAGATGTGCATTTCCCTTACTACCCAGGGCAGCGTGTGAGGGCAAGGTCATCAGTTTTCAAGAATGCTAGGTGGCTATCTGGCTTGTGGAAACCTAATCGCGTGGAAGGTACTGTTACTAAGGTTACAGTTGCTTCAGTATTAATTTATTGGATAGCTTCTGCTGGCTGTGGGCCAGATTCTTCTACTGCACCTGCTAAAGAGCAGGTTCCCAAGAACTTGAAATTACTGTCTTGTTTTACGCATGCAACTTGGCAATTGGGTGATTGGTGTCTTCTCCCCTCATCAGTGTCATCGTCTTCCCTTCCTTTAGACAAGGGATCATCAGAATTAGAACTTAATGATTCTGTAAGCAGTGAGTTAGAACCTAGTCAAATGGGTTGTAAGTGTGATTCAGAAGAGAGTGCGCTAGATGAATCAAATGGAAATCATGAATCCATGGAAATCGATCCAGTATCTGTATTAGATGGAAACAATGGAATTACTGGAAGGAATACATCTGTTGAATCTAGTTCCTTTAATAGTTCATTGTCAGTTTCAAAGGAGCCTGTTCATGAAACTTGGCCTCTTCATCGCAAAAAAATCCGCAAAGTTGTGGTTAGGAGAGACAAGAAGGCACATAAGGAAGAAAATTTTGAAAGATCCTTTTTGATTGTCAATACCAAGACAACAGTTGACGTGGCATGGCAGGATGGCACGACAGAACTTAAACTGGACTCAAAAGATTTAATTCCGCTTGATAGTCCGGGTGACCACGAATTTGTTGCTGAACAGTATGTGGTGGAGAAGGCGACTGATGATGGTGATGATGCTTATGAAGCTAGGCATGTTGGGCTTGTGAAAAGTGTCAATGCCAAGGAGAGAACAGCTTGTGTAAGGTGGTTAAAGCCAGTTTCCAGACCAGAAGATCCTAGAGAGTTTGACAAAGAGGAAATTGTGAGCGTCTATGAGCTTGAGGGGCATCCGGATTATGATTACTGTTATGGGGATGTTGTTGTCAGATTATTGCCAGTTTTTGTCCCTGCACAAACTGCTTCAGGTACAGAATTCGATGAGGAACCAAAACAACAAAACGGACCAAGCGAGCTTAGTTCTGCTTCTACAAAAAAAGATCTATCTAGTGATGAAGCTTGTTTGGACTTCTCAGATCTTTCTTGGGTTGGAAATATAACTGGTCTTAAGAATGGGGATATTGAAGTTACATGGGCTGACGGGATGGTTTCTACGGTATGTTCATTTACCTGATTTCAAGTTATCACTCTTGTTTTCTTGTCCACGCTTTGACTGTCAATCAACCTAAAACTTTGTATCAGTAACTTAGATTTGATTAGATTGACAACATCAGCACTATTACTTCTTGGTTCTAACCTCTCCTCTGCATAAAATGGTTCAGTTTAATGTTAAGGGTGGCTTATCTTTTATTGGAATTGTTAGTTATATTGATTAGGATGAAAGAATCTAGTCAAAGGGATGTAAACCATGTCATATAAACTTTTGATCCAAGAGAGTATGAGAGGAGTAGAAACTCATGGGAAGCTTCTGATGGTAAGCAGCTGCTCGAAGAATGGTGGGTGTAAAACAAAATTGGGATCTTTTTTGGATATTTTGGTTTGGGTTATTATTTGATCTCAATATATTTTCTTATTGGTGTCTTACCTTGCAGTGGCATAAGGATAACTAAATTTGTGCTTGCTTGTTTTGCAGAATTTAATCATATTTCAAAATTTGTGGAAGTTTTCCATGTATTTCTGATGCAGTTAATCGATCTTTGTTATGTTACTAGGTTGGACCTCAAGCAATTTATGTTGTTGGCCGAGCTGATGATGATGACTCTATCGATGCTGGAAGTGATGTTAGTGATGCTGCTAGTTGGGAAACGGTTAATGATGACGAGACGCCTGCACTATGTGCCCCTGCAATCACAGAAGAGGTTTGTTTCTGTTTGAAATAGCAGTATATTTCACCATATTTACAATCCAATACCTGCCCAAAGAATAATTACATTGTTCCATGTATTTCAAGATGATGTTTCTTCATCTGGGAGAGAGGAGCTTTGGGCCACTAGGCCTAATTGTAATCCTCCCTCTTTAAGAACATGAGTTTTTGAGTTTATTGTCTTTTAAAGTATTATTACAGTGACAGACTGGGTACTTGTATTGGGAAATTGATTCTGATTACTTGAATTCATCATATTGGGAAACTGATTTTTTTTTTCCTTTATGGGAGTCTGACCAATTATATGGTTTTTCTCCGAGATGAATTTATTCTTTTCGTAGAGTATAAATTGTTGTATACAGAAGACCTTAAATATACTTTATTTGGTTTGATTCTTATTGTTGACTAAGATGAGAAAGTTGATTTTCAGGAAGTCCGGCTACAAAATTCCTTTGGTATGAATTTTGAAGCAGAAGAAAGTGGAGAGAACAATTCTGGAAGGAACCCAGCATTGTCTGTTCCCTTGGCTGCATTCAGGTTCGTTACCAGACTGGCGCATGGTATATTCTCAAGGGGACAAAGGAATTTGGATTCAATTCTTTGGATAATGAAGGTGAGGGCGAAGGTGAAGTTGAGCCTCGGGAAGTGGAAATTTCTCAGGGAAGAGATCATGGTGAAGATTCCAGCTCTCAGAATTCTAATGTAGTGGATCCTTATGGTCTAGAAATAAATAAGGCAGAAGAAGAGAAAAATGTTACCCCACAGGCTGCAGAAATGTTGGATGCAGCAGAAGTTCTATGCAACTTAAAGACTGAAGACTCATATTCTATAGAATGCACTAAGGATGATGCTTGCAGTTTCAAACGCTTTGATATTGCCAAAGATCCTTTGGATCATCATTTCCTTTGTGCAGCTGGGCAGGTGTTTTTTCTATTTCATTTTCAACCCAAATATTGCTTTGTATTCTTGAAGGATTCCTCTTTCTGTAGCACGGAGCTACTATAGATTAGGTATAATAGGCTATAGACAAGGATACATTTTTTTTCCTAAGAAAATAAAATAAGGCGGTTAGGATATATTTGTCTATTTGATTTTCCTGTTTCTTTTCCTGCTATATATTTGATTTGACATACGAGAACTAATGAACTGGAAATTGTTATCCACGACTAAAGCCTGTCATTTTATTCTGACCTTGTTAATTGGTTTAGTCATTTTCTTACATAATGACCATATGTGGTTGTTGAGTTATAAAACAAGGACTGTCCTCAGTACTTCTAACCTGTTTTCACATTAAATGATACTTACAGAATACCAGTGGAAGAAAGTGGTTGAAGAAGGTTCAGCAAGATTGGAACATCCTTCAAAATAACCTTCCTGGTAAGGGTTCAGTTTCTTATTTTGACGATCACTATCTGTCCCATATTAGAAACACTTGATTTTAACAGTAAATTTTAAGCAGATGGGATTTGTGTACGAGTGTATGAAGACCGAATGGATCTCTTGAGGGCAGTTATAGTTGGGGCTTATGGGACACCTTACCAAGATGGCCTCTTCTTTTTTGATTTTCACCTCCCTCCAGAGTACCCTGATGTTCCTCCGGTTAGAACTACTTTTTATTATTTATTAATCTTTGGTTCCGCTGTCATTTCTTTTTTCTTTCTTTCTTTTTTTTTTTTACAACATTTTTTTATGCAAAGAAAGGCATTTATTCCTCGTTCTCTGAATGGATTTGTGTGTTACAGACAGCATACTATCATTCTGGTGGCTGGCGGATAAATCCAAATCTATATGAAGAAGGCAAAGTGTGTCTTAGTCTTTTGAATACTTGGACTGGCAGAGGGAATGAAGTATGGGATTCAAAGTCTTCTAGCATCCTTCAAGTTCTTGTTTCACTCCAGGGGTTGGTGCTAAATTCTAAGCCATATTTTAATGAAGCTGGCTATGATAAGCAGGTCGGGACGGCTGAAGGAGAGAAAAATTCATTGTCCTACAATGAGAATACTTTCTTACTGAACTGCAAGACAATGATGTATCTTATGCGGAGGCCACCAAAGGTGATGCTTCCCTTATCTTTGTTTCATTTAATTTTGCCTGGTGATAGGGGTCCTATATTAGTTGGATATACTCAATCTGTTGATGTATTTTTTTTCATTCGAGTTGGGTGCCTTACAAGGCATCATGAAAAATATTAATTTTACTCGATGTTTTGTTTATATTTGCTAAATACTTGGCGAACGCTCTTTATGTTTTATGTTGTGTGGTAATTTTACAAAGAAGGTCATATTTGTTGCTTTTATCTTTGACTCAATAATGTTTATTAATAGTACTGTTGGCATGTCTAGGACTTTGAAGAGCTCATCAATGACCATTTCCGGAGGCGTGGTTATTATATCTTGAAGGCCTGTGATGCATATATGAAAGGCTATTTGATTGGTTCTCTCACTAAAGATGCCTCTCTTAGTGATAAGAGCGATGTAAATTCAACTTCGGTTGGTTTCAAGTTGATGTTAGCTAAGATTGTGCCAAAGCTTTTCTCGGCCCTGAGTGCGGTTGGAGCTAATTGTCAAGAATTTAAGCATCTGCAACAATCGTAAGACAGGCATGGAGATTCTATTTGCCAAGTTCTCGGATCCATCAAGCCAAAAAGGTCAATCCGTTTTGATCAGTTGTTATTTTCTGAAGATTTCGGATACTTTGTCAATGTAAGGGGCTTTCACGTTCTATTTGAATTCATTTTTTTAAACTCAATAGAAACTGAAAGCCTGTCCCATTTTAGGTTAGAATTCAGCTATCCCCGGGCATATATACCTGGTCATAAGGCAGACTATCTCCTGTTTTAGGCATGGCGGCGTTTGTCGGGGCAAAGTTGCCGGCACTCCCTCTATTTTCATAAACGATGTTGCCATAACTGGTGGTAGCTTTTGGCAGGGGCTTTCTGCTGTTGCAAAAGCGACCAAAGATTTGCATTCACTTTCCGTTTGGTCCTTGTTCAGAATTTGTATGGATTGAATTGATATTATATCAGATTAACTATGTGAATTGGCTTCTCACCATTCATTTCAACCCTTTGCCTCATTTGTTCTGGACTTCAGCTTTATGTTCTTATTCAACATTCTAAATTAATCAAGATTTGATTCGAAATCGAAGATTTTCGAACAATTTTTTCACTTTTAAGAATGCTGATGCCTGATATCAGTTGGATTGAGCCATCTATATACCAAGAACAACTTGGGCAGAGTTGCAGCCACAGCATCCGGACGGCACCTTTCACAAAAGCAAGTGACCCTTTCTATTTGGTTGCTTAATGGGAATGTTGTTCTGGGTCAATGTGAGAGTTGCTCTAAGCAAGCATGAGATGCGGCAGTGCTTGAACGGCTAGATTGAGATTGTTAAAATCCAACCGTGGAACTTGGTCATCCAATGCACCAGTATATTCCATACACCAATGCATTGTAGACTTTTCAGTCTCATTGCCAGTGTAATTGTACTATAAATTTAAATTAGATTGTTATTTGGGTGAAAGACTAATGGATGTTATGTTGGTTTGATTTCTATAAAAACTCCTCTAAATCCTATCATTTTCGAACAAACATCCAACTCGTCATTCAACAATCTGTTAAAAACACCAGGATTATGTCCAAGCGAAATCATAAATTTCTGTAACATAAGTAATTGAGATCCGAATGAACCTAACAATCCTGTTCAAGCTAATCAGCATAACTTACATGATGAGATTTGCACAACACTTACATTATTAATAACAAAAAAGAACAGTATACGATCAAAGATCCAAATCTGAATAGACAAGACAAAAATAACAATAACAATAATAAAAATCTCCGCACTGATTTGCTACGGGTGCGATCACCACTCTTCTGCAATGCTTAAACTCAATCTACTTTCACTACTTTGTGCAAACTTTAGGATCCATGTGATGATTTTGTCGGTAATTACTATAACTTCCTTGGTTATTAAAGTTCCGTTGCTCCCCTGATATGCCACAAGAAAGATATGTGAGTTTCATGCAAAAGTTCCCCAGCAAGCAAGAAGATCCACATTGCTATTCTAGCTGAGGTTAGGCTTAGTATTTCACACTTTAAATCTATGGAAGGCTTATCCGAAGGCAAAAGCTTGCAGGAACGTTGAATCACTGAAACAAATGAGAATTCACTGCGGAAAATGCAGCTTCTTCACAATTTATACAGTACCATTGGAAGGTGGAATGTACCCTAGAACTAAGTGCCTGAATTATGGATTCTATACAAATTTGAGTTAGAAGTTCAGGAATTTAAAGATGAAGATGAAACAATTGCAACAGATTCGAATTACTTAACAATAAGATGCTACACCAATTCGTCCTCTAATGGTTTAACGGTTTAACCGCTCTTGAACACCACGCAGTTCAATGTTAACAATTACAAGTCACTCATCTCATTTCGATCTACAAGAAGCTAAATTTCAATTAATCAGAAAGTATCATCACTATCGTAATCATTCACAGCTACTTAAAATCTAATACGCCGTCTTAAACTTCAAAAAGCTCATCTAATATCCAATTTTTCTCAGCAACAAACTTGTACACCCAAATTATAGTTCAAGGCTTAAGCATTTTCAGAACCACACCACTATTCTATCAAGCTCTCGCCTTTTCAAAATACCGCCTTTTATCCATTCCAAATAAGGCACATCGAAATCAGTTGTTCAACTTCAATTCTCACCCAAATGCTCCCAGTCATACATACCATTGCTAAATCAAAAATTCAACATTCAATTGCCATTTTTATGTTCACTTTCATCTCAATAAACATCAAGAAGACCAAAATTAAATTAAAAAGGAAAGATATATAAAAAGCAAGGATAAACAAGTACCAGGCAAAGATGTTCATAGACCGCCGGTCTTGATGAGCCTTCTCCTGGCCAAAAACCTAGCCACGGGAGGAGTAAGCGCCAGAGTAATAGGAACCCGAATCGGGAACAGAGCCTTGTTGCAGAGCAAAGCTAATGCCAGAGCACCACCAGTCGAAGCCGCGAGCTCAGCCGTCCGACTCCTCTCCTTCTCCACAACCACAGCCGTCGATTGCCCATTTTCCGATATGGGTCCGTCCCGAAACTCCGACCCATCGGAGATTACAGGTGGGTTCTCTGGGTTTTCGTCTTTGGAGGACACGCTCCCCATGTGAAGCTTGTCCAGCAACGATTCGACGTCGACGTTGTTCTTGATGGCGACATAGAGGCCCGTGATCGAGGCAGCTGAGACTGAGAAATGGACGCCAAGTGCGACCTTGCCGTACTTCTTCAGGAGCTCTTTGAATCGACCGCCGGTGGCGACGGAGGCCATTGATGGACAAAATAAAGATGAGATTTTTTGGGGGGAAGTCGGTGAAGATTTTCTGTAGAAGGAGGCACTAGGGTTTCTGGTAATCTGGGTTACTGGGTTTTCTTAACTTAATTTTGTTGTTTGGGACAAGAAAGATGGGATTACTTGGTGATGGGTTAAAGTCTCTCTGTCAGTTTAATGGTTATTGGAGCTGCCAAGTGGTTGGTTATGGGCCTCACTCTGCCTTTGTTGGGCCAATTGGTAATGTCCACAATCAAAACTTCATGCTTGATCCCTTTTTTTCTTTTGGGCCTTAACTTATACTTAATAACCCATCTTTAGAAAATTTGGTTTTTATTCCTGGAGAGAGATATTCATCTAACCTAAATTACAAAAGGGAAATTTGAATTTGGGTGCAAAGATGAGAGTGCATTGTTCCAGTCAATATAGGTAAGCTTTTTTTTTTTTTTTTTTTCCTTTCAAATTATTTTTTTGGACTTACTTCATGTCATTTGAGTACACAGTCGCTTGTTACAGCTAAACGAACTTTTTAATGCTTAGAGCATGAGGTAGACAAAAGCTTAGTCTCAACATCGGTGTCATGGGGTCTCTAGAAACTGAAAGTTAAAAATTTAGAAACTCATGAAAGTAGTTTTCACTTTTGATTTAGTTTCTTTTTTAAAAAAAAATATGTGAAAATAAAAACTAAAAATTGAAAACAAAATAGTTATATCACTTGCTGGTTTCAGTTTTAAAAACTAAAAAACAAAAATGTTATCAAATAACTCTAAAAGAGACTTTAGATTTCACATCAATGGATAGAATGTGAAATTCAGTGTTTTGGTGCTGACTCCCATGCTTTTTGTGTGTGAAGCCCCGATGTCGGAAACACATATCATTGTAATTTAATTTTAGACATGGACTAAGCTTGATGAATAATAATATATCAAAGATTAAGCAATTGTTGATAGTCATATAGTGATATAGAGTTGATATAAAGAGAGCAATGCTTCTGTTAGTTTAAGATATGTAGAATTTGTCCTATGAGATTGTGCAAAAAACTTGTACCTAGTACCAATGTGAAATTAACCAAAAAACAAAGTACTGAAAAATGCTTTTCCCATACGAAACAATGGTGCTTTATGCTTCATTAGGAAGATAATGCAAGTGGAAGGGACTAAAATGGTGGTTGTGGAGGTGTTGCTGGTGCTGATGGTTGTCCAAGCCAATGCAATTCTCAGCCGCTTTAGCCGTCTCACTACGCCGTATTGATGAACATCATCATCAGATTAATGCTTCAACCATCTCACTATCCTTTTTCTGGCAACCAAAAGAATGAACGTCATCAGATTAATGCTTGATCAAATTATATGGTACATGTTACAAGCCTCTAATTTTTTTCCCAATATATTTTCTCAACTCTCTCACAGAGGTAAGGCGAAGGTGTACACGAGCATGCCTTATCTTACTCGAGAAAATTCTTGCACAACGGATGCATACAACATCACGCTCACAAAAATAACCCCTCACGTACTGATTATGTGACTAAGTAGTTGAGACGAGGGGTTGTGTACATTTGTTGTATACTGAAAAATTTGTGAGCAAGAGTTGGAAAAGAGTAGAGTTTCATGCTAGAAAAGCAACTAACCTTTACAATGAAAACATTGGACACGAGACATCTGAAGCTAGTCATATTTGCATTAGTAACTTCCAGGCTCAGAGAACTCAAAGCCTCTATCAATCTCAAAAATCCACCAGGCTTTTGCTCATATAATACTTTCACAAAGAACTGGTTTCCGTCCAATTGAGCCACTTCCACTTGGGGCTACAACATTTTCCATATCTTTGGTTAATACCTAAGAAATAAATTAATCCCGAATAGAAAAGGGTAGTCATTTCCTCACTCCCGTTCTCTCCTTTTGCTTTCCTCCCATTGTTTTTGTCCCTTGGTTCTACATTAATTTATTCAGACCAATGGCTAAAAAACGGGAGGAATGCAGGCGGAGAATAGTAAAGTGCGAAAATCACTTCCCATAAAGAAAAACTTCAAGAAGAAAAAAACCCAAAATATGTACCTCCATCTGTTCTGTCTTGTGATCATGGACAACATATGAATAATTTTGGCTTTGTTTCGAGATGATGCAGTCTCCTGGTGTTCCAAAATGAAATCCATTTGAAGCTTTATGATCATCTTGATGATCTTCAGTTTTAGGCCTAATGAGATCAACTCCACTTTGGCTCTGAATCTCTGATTTGATATTGTTGTTAACACCATCATCCTCTGCATGATCTTCAAGCTTATCCTGGAGATGTTTAGCTTGCTTCTGCAGCAGTATCACATATTCAATGACATCCCCAAGAATGGACACCCTGTCCAACTGTGAATTAAAAGGGAGTTGGCATTAGATAAAAGATAGCATTTTCAATGAGCCAATTACTTTTATAGTCGAGTTGTATTCTAATTTCATATAAACTGCGGGGAGGGAGATTCAAATTTGGTGTGGAAGAGAGAAGGATACATTGCCCTAGCCAACTTGACTATGACCAGGTCTGCCTATGAGTCTATTACTTGAGGTTACTGAAGAGTTCTTTATTTTCATATTGTTTGTAAAGCCTGAATCGATCCAACACATGAGAGAAGTGAGACATGATACAAATCAAATGGGGTTTCAAAAGAAAAGATGCAAGATGATGCAATGAAATAGGGTACCTTGGAAATAATGGGAACCAAAGACCTAAGAGCATAAAGTCTGTCACTAAGCTTCTTCCTTCTTTTTCTCTCAACAATAAGCTTTTTGGATTGAGGCCCTTTCCTTGTCCTCATTCTCTGGTATTTTACATCCTCCTCCTCGTCAATTTGATCACTACAATCTAACATCAAATCCTCATCTTGTCCTTTCGCCTCATGTGTATTCGAGTCTCGCTCCCATTGCTCTCCTATTGATCCATGTTTGGTACTAATGCCATGATCTATTGCTGCATATCTATATGTTGTTGTGTCTCACTCGTCATGGACCTCTGCATTGCTTCCATCTCTTGAAATCCATTTTCTGCTGAAAAAATATCAATATTATTCTTGGTTAGGTTTCCTAAGTTATAATTAGTAAATTGCTGCAAAAGGTTCATTGGAGAATTGCTTGTTCTCTCCATGGATGCGTTATATGGCTGCAGATTTAAATTCTCTAAAGTAGTTTTGAATGAGAGATGGTCTAAAAATCGCTTCGATTCAATTTCACTCATTGTGCGCGTACCAGTTATGTTAGTCAGGCCTGCCTCCTCTAGTGAGATCCTGTATTGGGCTGTGACAAAATCAACAACATGCTGATCTTCAAATACCTACAATCACACAAAATAGAACAACAAAAAAATTTGCAATGCTAAAGACCATTTTCTTCGGATAATGACAGAAATGGCTGTACTTTCTTGCTCATGAAATGTGCACAAAATGCAGTTAGATATACAAATGAGAATTAAAGATACCGGAAACATTACTTGTTTGGTAACAAGAAGCTCGATTCGTCCTCTCGGTATTGGAATCAAACCCTGGTCCCAATAGTTTCCCACAAGTGTAAGCGCGAAAGTATGACCTCGATATTAAAAGGGCTTTGTCTTCTGGATATAGGAGAAAGGTAGCAGAGTGATACTTGCCTCTTAAACTCTAAAGTTCTTAAAAATGTGTTGTTACAAAAGTTTAACCAACTAGGTTGGTTTGATATCAAGGTCTCTGAATAAATCCTGTTACAAATTTGGAGTACATTTAAACAAGTTTTATTTTTATTAAAAGTCCAAATTGACAGTCTGACACCATAACCGCTTTAGGGAGAAAACTTCCTATATACAGAGAAAAATAAGATGAACGAGAAAAAGGATGAGCAAATAAAAAAGTACGTACCTAGAGTCTAGGGGCATGGAAGAAGGCATTTTGGCAAGAAGATCACACGATATGATTTTTGGATGCTGTAACATGTTATCCCTACATGCAAGGACTTGAGGGAAAAGTTCTTGTCCAACATCACTTTGGGTGATTTCAGTCCCAACACAGCAACAATCACTCTACTCAATAAACCTAAAAATAAACCCCAGAAAGTCACATACACGCGCGCGCACACACATATACATATATATTGAGACAAGAAGAAGAAATTGAAAGATTGATAATGTAGTTATAGTTTCTTAACCTTTGGTCTTCACTTAGTTTCCAGAAAACACAACAGTCCCAGCCTTTCAAACCCACAAGGGATCTAAGCCTCTGGATGAGGTTTGGCATGATCATCATCACCGCCTGTAACGATGGAAAATACAAAAGCGAGCGGAAAACGCAGAGTAAACTGGTTTCAAATTCCAACTCAAATTCCAACTCAGAATCTTAGAGTTGAAGACAGCTGGGTTCCACCGTAAAACCAATTGGTAATATGGGGAGTAGCTCAACCTCTTATAAGCCCATGCAAGGTCCGTCCTCCCATTAATGTAAGACTCATTCTCAACACACCCCCTCACGGGTGGCGAATTTATGAGCGGATAACACAGCAGGGTGACGTGGAGCACATGTAGCCGTTTGGCTTCAGACGTGGGACAACGTTGCTCTGATACCATGAAGAAAGTTGGGGTTCCACCATAAAACCAATTGGCAATATGGGGAGTAGCTCAACCTCTTATAATTCCATGCAATACGGTTCATTCTCCTATCAATGTGGAACTCATTTTATCACGTTTTTTGGTCTGCAGCAATTAATTCCCCACAAAAAAGATTCTATTTTATGAAGAAGATACATACCTTTACTCAAGAGCTTCCCAGGTCACTCGAGCAGTTCTCTTGCTGGCCACAAAAGACAAGATCGACGCAATAAGAGAGCCATTGATCCAACTAAGGATCATTTGATCCTGCAACATCAAGGAGGTATAGGCAAGATTGACAGTTGCAACACCAAGTAGGTCATTAGGGGGACACACCAGAGTGCCATCAACATACGCCATTACATCTTGACTCTTGATAATATGAAGTATTTGGGCCAACCACAGTGGGTAGTTGGTCCTATCTAGCTTAATGTTAACCATGGTTGTCATGGAGGAAAAAGGATGGGTAGGATTGTTTGGGGGGATGGAGATGGAAGATTGAGGAGGAGCATCATTGTTTTCAGCCATTGGAAGCGAGGAAAAAAGCAAGGATCGTTG